GAAACTAATATAGCACTGTAGTTAATTCTACTGGAATAAATAAATAAATATTTTTAAAACACAATAAGAAGGAAAAAAAAGATTCATTGTAATCCCGATTAAAATCCCAGCAGTGGTTTTTTTGGTTTTTTTTTTTTGTTTTTGGTAGAAATTGTCAAGCAGATACAAAAGTTTAGATAAAAATGAAAAGGAACTAGAACAGTGAAAACAACCTTGAAAAACATAAAGTTGGAGAACTTAAATTCCCTACTTTCAAGAATAAATTTAAAGCTGCAGTAATTAAGACAGTTGGTAGTGACATAAGGATAGACAAATAGATCAACTGCGCAGAAGTAAGATTCCAGATATAGAGTCAGTCGGTTTTCTATAAAGACACCAGAGCAAATCAACAGGGAAAGGAAAGCCTTTTCTACAAGCAATCCTGGAATAACTATACAGCAAAAAATGAACCCCAAATACTGCTTTATACCATACACTAGACTTACCTTGAGACCTTGAGATGAATCATACACCTGGAGGTAAAGGCTTCTTTAGCCTCTTAAAGAAAGAAGAATACTTTTGTGAGCTTAGGATAAGCAAATATTTTTTTTTTCTTTTAGACAGGAGATAGCAGTAACCACAAGAAAAGAATTTGTAAATTGGACTTCTCCAACAGCAAAACCTGCTCAGCTTTCTCACAGTCAGAGGCACTTATTTTCTGACAAATGATTTATAACCAGAATATTTAAAGAGCTCCTTAGTATTAATAAAAAAAACCACAACCCAGTATAAAAACTGAACAAGGAGTTGACAGACACTTCACAAAAGAAGATATGCAAATGATCTGCATACACATGAAAATATCCTTAATATTATTAGCCATGAGAGAAATGCAAATTAAAACCACAGTGAGATTCTATTTCACTTCCTACGGTGGCTAAAATGGAAAAGATTAACACCAAATACTAGTGAGAGTGTATACCGCTGACACAATCCTTTCAGAAAAATGTTTGGCTCTTTCTAACCAAGTTAAACGTATATCTATCCCTATGACCCAGAAATCCATTCCTAGGTATTTACCCAGAGAAATGAAAACATATGTCCACAAAAACGCCTCTATAAGAATATTCATAGCTGCTTGAGTCCTGATTATCAAAATCTGGAAATGACTCCGACATCTACCAAGAGGAATGAACAGATAAACATGTTATGGTACATTCCAAAGTGTAATCTGCTCAGCAATAAAAGGAAATCAATTCCTGAAACCTGCAAGAAAATGGATGAATCTCAAAATATTATATATATTAATATTAAAATATTAAATATTAACAAAAGAAGTCAGACATCATTCTTACTCTGCTGTACTGTGTTGTGTTTCTTAATTCCTTTAACCACATACTAAACAAGAGGCATTTTCCTTAATTTTATACATAAGGAAATGGAGGCTCACAGGCATCAGACAACTTGCCCACAGTCTTCCCATGAGCTGGAAGGAGAGCCCAGCCTGCTCTCTGAAGCCCACAATATCCTGAAAATGCACTGCCTGGCTATGAGCTTGACATTCCTCGTTTGCCTGCCTCCTCACTAAGGACTGTGGTTTTTCTTTTGCTCTAATCTTTAGAGGATTTTATTTATAACTCCCTCGAAATGGGCTTCCCAAAAAACCCATCTTTCCACACAGCAATGTTTAGAGCTAATTGCCTGGGCAGCCTCTTTCATCAGCCTCATCTTAGGGAGAATTTACTTGATTTGCTTGCTTTCAATTTCTAAGCCTTCAATTGTTTGCTTCCTTAATCAAACAAATTAGACCTCAAGTCTTTGAAGATGGACTATCAGAGAAAATATATCATGTGTTCAGCATAAAAAGTAAGCGAAGTCTAAGATCAGGTGTTTAGAAAGAGATATTTTGGTCAGATTTGATCACAATAAGCCAACCTTTTTCTGGGCTTGAATTTTCCCATTGAACTCAGAGGACAAATAACCTTCTTGAGCCTCCAAGACCACTCGGTTTGGCCCTGGCATTCCTACAGATGTCTGAGCCACAGGTGGTTAGACAGCAGCTAGGAAGATCTTAGTCTACATACAGAACCTTGGCCTGTAGGGGTTAGAATTCTGACAGGGCCAAAGAAATCAGGAGACACTGTAGTGTAGTACTCCCAAAAAATGGCCCATGGAAGGCTTCATCCATAGCTTGAACTCTTCCACATAACCAGAGAGGAACTAATTTAGTTTTCCAAGTTTCTGTCCACTGGAGGTTAGCCATTGGCCTTACATCCATAAACCTGGCTTCCCACCTCTGTGATATGTGTCAACCATGGAGATAGGCTGCTGAGATATCTTTTCAAGAGAACCTGCTGCCAGGAGGGTAGCTGGCAGCTGTCATCCAGATGCTACAAATTTGGATCTCCAGCAGAGTTCACACTGAGGCCATGCTCTCTCTGGTTTGATACCAGCCAGACTGATCCTAGCAGGGACACTAGAGCCATGACACTCCTGTTAGACATAAGACTCATATAATGGGAAATCTTTGCTCTGGGGATCCTCATCTGCCTAGGCCTTTTCAGATCTGTTCTGCAGTCTGCGGTTCTCCCTCCTCTCCTCCTTTCTTAACTCTCTCCTTTTAAACATCACATTCTGAGGATAATTCCTACCAACTTCCACTGTGTCTTCACAAACATTACCCCAGTGGATCTCTAACACATCTAATTCCATCTTTGTGTCCACTCTTGGAGCACTCAAACTTATACAGTTGGTACACAAAATGGGGTTTTGGATACTAGCTCACCCACCTCATAGCTAGCAAAGAGAACGCTAGCCCAACTGACATGTGGGGCATGCATAGTTCCTGGAATAAGAAAGTATACCTCAACTGCTGAAGATTTCATGGGTGGTGACCTGGAAAAATGTCCCCATGGAGAGGAACATCTTTGCCAATGAAGTGATGCAGGCATTTGAAATACATGAGGAAAACAGTAACTCCAAGGCCAGTTATTACTAAATTGTACTGACACACCAGGGAGGGATAATTAGAAACTGAGGGCCATTAACAAACAATTCAGGACTATGTGTGAGAGCCAGACAGCCTCTCTGGACACTTACAAAGGGTCTCTTATCTCTGCAGTGGAATAATGATCACAGCTGAAGAGAAGACTCGGGATCTAATAGTTTCTTAGAGCTCTAGAGATATTTAAATGCTCAACCAAGACAGGGTTGTTATGCTAAGGTTTGGCCCCTAGCTAGGAAAACCTTGGACCATGAAAGCTTGGATGGGGGCATCTGGGTAGAGGCTCCCAAGAATCTTACTTTTCCCTGGCAGATGGTAAAGGAAGGAGTTTTAAAACTCAGTGAGGAAAGAATACTAGAATCAATATTTTATGTGAAATCGGAAGACCCACCTGAGGACTGTAGTGCACTGGACAGTCCAGCAGACACAGCATTCACCAGGGCCATCAGGAATAGGCTGTGAAGTTCAGTAGTGGCAGGGCCAAGCTGGGCTTACTGATAGCAATGGGAAATGGAGCCTGGAAGTAACAGAGACCAAGTGGCAGCACTTGATCACTAGAAGCTAGGGGGCTGCAATTCCCATAATGACTGGCAATGTCAGAGAGGCAGCCCTTGGCTTGACTACAGGGAATGGTGGAGATGGTCGGAGGAACGTGACCAAATAGATGAGAAGCCAAGAGTGCTGCTTAATACAATCAGAAGAAGAAAGGAACAGAGGAGAAGGAGACTGAAGGCAGTCATCTCAATAAGAGGACAGTATCATTTGTTCAGTTAGTAGCCCTGAGCCAGTTTTCTGATTTGAAATCCAGTGACTGAAGAGGTGGCCAGATCTCCAGGAAAAGGGCCCGGCAACATGATGGCAAGTATAATGACTCCTTCAGTCCTTCCTTAAAAAGACCTATGGCAATTTACTTGGGTGACCACACAGTGGGAAGATGAATACCCAGACATTTCAAGAAGTATTGGACACAGAGTCTTACTTGACACTGACAACCAAAGACCCCAATATTTTCATAATCCCCTAGTGAACGAAGACCTGGCTAGTCTAGTTTACAGTAGGTTTAAGGGTCCATGGACCCATACATGGCAATTGGAGTACTGAGCTCCTGGCCTGTGGGTAAGAGTGAGCATAGTGGGGAAAGGTCAACTGGAAGCCTCTAAAGTAAATAAAAACAATATCACATCCAAAGTTTTTTTTTTTTTTAGAAGGGGGTGGAGGGATGACTGTAGACTACCACAAACTCAGTCAAATAGCAGCTCTTTTTACAATTTATTTCAGACACTGTGACTTTGCTACAGCTGATTGATAAGGTCTCAGAGGTAGACAGTATGTGGCTATTGACTTGGTATCTTCATTATTTCTACTCCAGTCAAAAAAAATCAGAAGATCAGAAACAGTCTGCATTTACATGGAACGGACAACAGTATTTATTTCATATTGCCCCAGGGCTATGTTAACTTTCCCATTTGTTGTCATAATATAACTGTAATAGTTCTGAACCAGCTGGAAACTAAGGGGGTAAAAGCAAGAGTAGCCCCACTTACCGTTACACTCAATGACCCACATGGGGATTTTGTGCCTCCCATCACCACAGGTCTGGGTTTTGCAGGGTTTGAGGTCCTAGTCACCAAAGAGGGGACCCTTAAGTGACTGTTTCCACCCAGGCACTCTGGACTTCTGGTGTCCAAGGACCAGCAGGTAAGAAAGGGAGTCATCATTCTGGCAGGGATAACTGTTTCCTGCTGAGAAGGCAGAGCTACTCTTACACAATGGGGACAGAGAAGAATATGTCTGAAATGCGGTGGAGCCAAATGGGCACTTTTAGTAGTTTTTGCCCAGTTATACTGGGGGCTCAGATCCCTTAGCGACAAGAGATTGGGGTCTACCATTGGGTAAGCCATAAAGACCTGCCCAAGTGACACTGAAAAGTAAAGAGAATTTAGAATGGATAGTGGAGGAGGGAGACTGACTAAATGCAGAAATGGAGCTATTAGTTCATCCAACTAACCTCTTCTAGGTTTCTCCTCTAGAAAAGATGCCCACGTGAACCAGGGAGATGCTGCTTACCAAACACATGTAGAGCAACAGATCTGTGTGGCAGAAGCTGTGGAAATGGCAGCCATGGAAGTACTGCACTCAGATCGTCCTTCAAGAGAAGCACCTACGAGCAGAATAGTTCCTGGGCAGCTTCCAGCTATTCACCTTGGATCTAATGCAGCTTTCATTCTGAGGCCTTGCTCTCCATCGGTTTCTCCTAGCCAGTGGCCAAGCATGGGAAGAAGATGAAAGCTGGCCATACCAGCCCAACGTGGGACTCCTGTAATGGGCAGTCTCTGCACTGGGGCTTCCTGTTGGCCTGGCTGAGATGTTACCAGAGTTTCACTGCCACTGAAATCTATTCAGTTCTCCTCTCTTCCCTCTCCTTGCACAGCTGTTAGCCCTGCACAGGGCTCTGAAGGCTCTCCCTGCCCACTCCTGCTCCCTCTCTCCTGTACCCTTTACAAACATTTCCCTTCTGCATGTTTTATTCTGGTTGGCATCTACTTCTCAGAGGACCCAAAGTGGAACAGGAGGCCTCAGAAAAAGGCAAATAAAATTCCTCTACTAAAAAAAAATAAGACCATGCATTGCTGGATGGAGAAGTGACTGGGCAGGGCTTGTAGATATACACTTTTTGGACATTTTCAAAATTACAAAGAAACAAATAACTGTCATGGAGAAAATCTTTAGTCTAAAGCTATTTTTAAGCATCTCCATAATTTCAAGTTCTATTAACTTGTGTGAAAACTCCTACACTTGTCAGATCAAATTCTTGTTCTCTGCCCAATTTGGAAGTTTCCCTTCTGAGTGGCAAAGGACAGTAATTGAACTTCTGGTCCTGAATCTTGATTGGAAGAAGACTGGCCCAAATCTTATTTCTCTCCAGTTTCTCTGGGATCACTAAGGACAGCACTTCTCTTGACTTTCAGAGGAAGCTGTGAAAAAGCATTAACACTATGTACTTTATAGCTTGTCATGATGGACTGCAGAGTACCTCCTTACCTATCATCTTATTTTCAATGGTGCACCTACCAGGTGAAGGAGAGTCTCTGCTAATACCTCTTTTTAAAGCAACTGGATGATTTGCCACTTCCATTTTATGATGTGCTTGAAGTAAGATATACAGTTGACTCCTGAACAACATAAATGTGAACTGCACAGGTTCACATATATGTGGATTTTAAAAAATAAATACAGTACTGTAAATGTATTTTTCTCTTCCTGATTCTCTTTTCTCTAGTTTATTTGATTGTAAGACTACAGTATATAATACATATAGCATACAAAATGTGCGTTAAGCAACTGTTTATATATCAGTAAGACTTTCATCAGCAGTAGGCTATTAGCATTATCAACAATAGCCAGAATATGGAAAGAGGCCAAATGTCCATCAACTGATGAGTGGATAAAGAAGATGTGGTACACACACACACACACACACACACACACACACACACACACGGATATTACTCAGCCATCAAAAAGAATGAAATCTTGCCATTAGCAATGACGTGGATGGAGCTAGAGTATATTATGTTAAGTGAAATAAGTCAGAGAAAGACAAATATCATATGATTTCACTCATATCTGGAATTTAAGAAACAAAACTGATGAACATATGGGAATGGGGAAAAAAAGAGGAGGTGGGTGGGAAACAAACCATAAGAGACTCTTAATTATAGAGAACCAACTGAGGGTTGATGGAGGGAGGTGGGTGGGGGATGGGCTAGATGGGTGATGGGGATTAAGGAGGGCACTTGTGATGAGCACTGGGTGTTGTATGTAAGTGATGAATCACTGAATTCTACTCCTGAAACTAATATTGCACTGTATGTTACCTAACTAGAATTTAAACAAAAATTTGAAGGAAAAAAAAAGCCCTGAAACCCACAGGAGGCTATTAAGTTTAGGGGAGTCAAAAGTTACTTGTGGATTTTCAACTGTGTGGGGTGGGGCAGGGGGTGCTCCAACTCCTACAGGGGTTCAAAGGCCAACTGTAATTCTAAATGGAATTGTTGAAACTAGAGAGCCCACACCAAAAAAGTGACGTCCCCTGTGTGGTAGAAGAAATAAAAACAAAGCCATATGGGAAATGGTTGAGAAACTGATGCTAAAAACAGGTCAGAAAGAAAAGAGGACTCTAGCTCTTTGATTGTAAAAGAAGCACCAAGTGTTCTCCCTACAACAGATCATCTTATCATGTCTGTATCTTTTGAATAATTGGCTTGAAGACTACTGAAAAAAATTTTTTTGGCTATGATTTATTTGAGAGAGCGCGCATGCATGCATGTACGTGCAAGAGTGGGGGTAAGGGCAGAGAGAGAGGGAGAGAGAGAATCTCAAGCAGACTGGGCACTGAACATGGAGCCCAACATGGGGCTCCATCTCACGACACTGTGATTATGACCTGAACCGAAATCAAGAGTCTGATGCTTAGCTGACTGAGCCATCCAAGTGCCCCTCTACTGAAAAAAATTTTGTTCATTATTTCTTCTCCCAAATCAATAAGTGGAAAAAAAAAAGTATCTCTGACTTGGTTGAATCAAGTCTATCAAAACCTGAGTCATTCCATGCATGGAGGAAATGAGACTGGATTAAAATGGCCTTTGTTACAGTACCAATAGCCACAGTTACCGAGCATGTTCAACAAGCCAGAAGCTTCCCACAAATTGCTCTCACCACACAAGGATACTACAGGGTAGATCCCAGAGGCTCACAAATGCCTGGTAACTTTGCTGGGGTCAACCAACTTGGACAAGGCAGAGTCCAGGTGGGTCAGTGTGTGTCCAAAGCTAGTCCACCCTCTCACCTTCTTATCTTCAGGCAAGAAAAATATGGGGGAGAGGCAGGGAGCGGCTGGGGTAGGATTTTTAAAAAAAGATTTATTTACTTGAGAGAGAGAAAGAACGAGAGAGTGAGAAAGAGAGAGCACAAGGGGGCTGGGGGGAGAGGCAGAGGGAGAGAGCGAATCCCAGACTCCACACTTGATCTCACAACCCTGAGATCACAACCTGGGGTAAGACTGTTTTAAGAGCAATGGCAGATCCTTGTAATGAAATGAAATCAGACTGTGCACAAAGAATTTTATAATAGTTGGAAAGAACGAGAACAACACTGATAACTGTAGGGTTACTGTAAGATGTGGGGAATAATCCTGGCGGGGAACATTTAAAAAACAAGCAGATAATTCCTCCTCTTCTAAACTCCTTTGCATTTCATTTGAGCACACAATCCGGGCCATATTAGGGCTCAAAAGATATTTTTGAACTAATAAATAAATTTGTACCTCTATTAAAATAGCATTGGCTTTTTGCCTTGTGCTGTAGGTATTTAAATCTCCCTTCCTGGATAGTGTCTTAATATCAATAGCCTCTTGCATTTATGTAGCAATTTATGGTCAACTTTTGTGTACCTCATTTTACTTAGAGCAATTCTATGAGGTTTGAAAGGCCAGCATTCTTATCTACATTTTAAGGACTTTGATGCTGAGAGAGAAACGATTTGCTTAAAGTCACATACCTAGCACAGGGGAATGCTTGAACTTCAACTAAGAATTTCTATATTTCACATCTGTTTTCTTTCAAACATGCAGAGTCTTCTTACGGAAAACTGCCCTTCTGATTCATCATTGTAGTGTAACATAGCCAAGCCCTACACCTTACTCAGGATAATGTTCCATGAGTATCTGCTGGGTCATTTTTATGAATGAATGATTGAAGGGCATGAATGAAACCATCCAAGAAATGGTTGAATGAGGATTGCACTTGGACAATCTGACTTTCAGATCTGGGTGGAAAGTGCTCTAGTAAATTCCTCTGTCTACTCATATTTCATTTAAATAAATATCCTCCCAGATGTCCTCAAAGGAGATAGTTTTACCGCACTTCCCAGTTGAAAAATATTTGTGTTTAGTCCTTTCAGAGGCTATAAATCTCTCTAATCAGTGCCTAATGGTTTTTGGGATGACTCTGAGCAAGTATCCCATTAATTGAAAGAATGTTGTCATCTGCCACAGAGATTTCTCATTATGTTTCAGCAAATTCAAAACAGAACCCTGTTTGGAATTCTTTTATGAACAGTGTAATTACACCACATCCTATGGTGTTTGGAAGTGGTGCTCACAATTAGCATCTCTGTCATGAGTGGGAAGTGATCCATGCTAAATAGATGCTGGGCCAGCTGGGTCTTGCTAAGACCCCCACCCTTCCCCCTTCAGCTCCATTAAATTAAGCTGTCCCTATGTGTGGGCAAAAAGACATAAATCTTTTACTTCTGTGTGTATTAAAGAAATGCATCTGCTTCCATTAATTAAAAGTCAACTGTTTCTGTTTACAGTGATCAGGGTAGAACAGACACTTATGCCAAAGAATTCCAGAGAAGCAGATCCTGGTGAGATGCCACAGTCCTCAGCAGGCTGTGAAGCAAGAAGAGCTGGGACATGAACTAACCTGTCCTTGTCCTGGAAGGTAAGGGGGACAGCATCCCAACAGACCCAGGCCTCTATTTCCCCTATTGCAAAATGGCCCCAATGTGGGAACATGGCTATTAATCTCCACGGGCGCACAGAACACAAGATCCTGTCTGATGAACAGCACCATTGGGCCTGCCAGTCATGTGTAGCAGTGTATATTTTGTCTTGGGATCTCCATTTTCCTCCCAACATTGACAGTTGTTTCTGATTTTCCTTTCACTTCAAATTGCTCCCCTCCCCTACTCCCCACAAATACAAACCTACTCATAATCTTTTAAGGTACTCAGAGTTCTCTCTTCTTTCTGTTCTTCCCTTCTTTACTTGCAGTTGTTCCTAAGTCATGTCTCAACCATTTACACCTTAGTAAGAAGTTCAGCCAATGTTTGGTTCCCCATGTTTATTACATTATATATTGTATGTATGTATATATATACATATATATATATATATAGCATATACTCCACATACGTAGCATATATAAATATATACATAAAATAAGTGTAGTTCTTCAATATGGGAAAAAGGGTTTTGTGCCTGATTAAAGAATTGTTTAGACTTCCTTCTTATCTATCAGTGTCCTTTTTCTGTCATAAATCTCATAATAGACAAATTGGGGACAATTTTTAAATGAAAAGTAAAAGAATTTCGCCTCCAATCCTATCCCTCAGAACTGACCACCTTAAATATTTTGGTGTATTGGGAGCCTGGGTGGCTCAGTTGGTTAAGCAACTGCTTTCGGCCCAGGTCATGATCCTGGAGTCCCGGGATCGAGTCCCACATCAGACTCCCTGCTCGGCGGGGAGTCTGCTTCTCCCTCTGACCCTCTTCCCTCTCGTGGTCTCTATCTCTCATTCTCTCTCTCTCAAACAAATAAATAAAAAATCTTTAAAAAAATATTTTGGTGTATTTTTCTATCTCTTTTCCACTTATAAAATTACAAAATATTCGTTCCTTGCAAAAAAGTATACACTCTTACTCTTGTTTTAGGCATGATTCCAACAATGTTGGTTTCATTTCCCTGTCCACAGTAGATTAGAGATAGCAATTTTAAAGCAGGGGGATTGACAAGGAAAGACAGCAGGTAGAAAAGAATTGAGACTCCCT